AAAAAAAAATAAATTAAAAAATAAAAAAAATGATAAAAAAAATATTATCAAATAATAAAATTTTAACTTCAGTGTCCCAAACTAAAGTGGAAATTCAAACAGAAAAAAAAAATATTTTTATAAAAATTAAAAACTATAATAATGAAATTAATTTTAATAAAACAATAATATTTAATAACAATAATAATAATAATAATAATAAAAATAATAATTTAAATAACAGAGGATTTTTTACTATTAATCCACAATTTCAAAATAAAAGTTATGAAATATTCCAATCATTATCAACACCTCATTCATTGAAGGATACATATAGGATATTAGGTGACATTTCAATGGGATCAAATTATAAGGCAGCAAATATTAGGATATCATTTTTTAATAAAGAAAAAGACAAATGTGATATTAGAGGTATAAAATTATTTGGTGATAATAGTAAAGATGGTTGGTTAGTAATCATTGGTGGTAGAGAACCATCTCAATGGAACAATATCTCACTCTCCTTATATTTAGCCGCATTATTTTCACAAAACCCTTTAACAAATTTTGATGTCATAATTTTCCCTGTTGAAAATCCAATACCAATATCAAATGATACTCATGATCACCAAAAAAGACAACCATTGATGATGTTTGAAAATACAATTACCCAACCACATCAATCTTTGAATAATTCAAATTTTTCTTCTACTAACCAATCTCAACCATTATTTGGTAAGTATTTGAAAAATAAAAAAAAAAATCAATAATAAAATAATAATATTAATACTATTTTTCTTTTATTATTATTATTATTATTATTATTATTATTATTATTATTATTATTATTATTATTATTATTATTATTATTATTATTATTATTATTATTATTATTATTATTATTATTATTATTATTATTATTATTATTATTATTATTATTATTATTATTATTATTATTATTATTATTATTATTATTATTATTATTATTATTATTATTATTTTTATTATTTTTATTATTATTATTATTATTATTATTATTATTATTATTATTATTATTATTATTATTATTATTATTATTATTATTATTATTATTATTATTATTATTATTATTTTTATTATTTTTATTATTTTTATTATTTTTATTATTATTATAAAATTTTAGAAAATTATCCAAAAGGAAAAAGTAATGCATTAAATGATTGGTTAATGAAATCAAAAAAAGAATTTACACAATTAAAAATTGATAGAGTAAATAGTAATATTATACCAACAGGAAATAAAATAGTACCACATCAAGGAGGACCATTTCACATATTATCTAATGAACTAAGTCATCCAAATAGATTTATTACTAACAATAACAACAACAACAACAATTGCGCAGGAATTGAAAATTTCCAATTTTTAAATACTTTAAATAATAAACCCAACTATATACTGAATATTAAGAATTTAAATTTTCATCCATCATTTAATATTGATCAATTACAATCATTCGGCCTAAATATTTCAAAACAAATTGAAAAAATTGATATGACTTTTGATAATAAAAAAATTTCTCCAGTTCAATTTTAGAATTTTATTTTAAAATAAATTGTATACAATAAAACTATAATGTTAATAAATAAAAAAACTATAATTTTTTTATTTTAAAAGAATATTACAAAATTTTACAAAACTTTTTTTTTTTTTATTTATTTATTTTAAGTAATTATTTTCTTTTTTTTTTTTTTTTTCACAGGAAAAAAATCATAGTTTTTATACATCTTTGCATTTATCTTTGCATAATGATTCATCATAGTATGGACAAAATCTTAAACATTCTGTATATTCTATATCTGCATTAGATTGCTCCTCTGATGAAACTGAAAATGCTGAAACTATAATAATTACAATGGCAATGTGGAAAGCATTTAATTTCATTTCTATTTCTTGGTTTATTATGTTTCTTTTTTTTTTTTTGTTTTTTTTTTTGATGTTATGAAAAAAAAAATAATATTACAAAGATTTTATTATTTTTTTTTTAAAAAAATAAATATTTAAAAAATAAATATTTTAAAAAATAAATAAAAAATAAAATTTAAATAAAAAAAAAAAATATAAAAAAAAAATAAAATAAAATAAAAAAAAAAACCATTATGCACAAAACTAGTGTTTCCTTTTAAATTATATTGAAAGATTTTGAAAAAATTCACAAATTTGTGTGGCTTTATGGAGGCAATAGCCGTGAAAAAAAAAAAAAAATAATATGTTTTAACTTCAATAATACTCAATAAAATATATATAAAAGGTCATATAAAACAGACCCCAATCCCCCCAAAAAAAAAAAAAAAAAAAAAAAATTATGAAAAAAAAATTAATGGGGTTATTTTAAAATATTGACATTATTTAATTATCAAAAAAAAAAAAAATTTTAAAGATATATTTATTTTTTATTATTCTTTTAATTAGTACAATAATTTTGTAATCCAATAAATATATTTTTTCAAAAAAAAATTCTATATTTGGATTATGGTTTTTAAAATTAATTAAATTCTATTTGAAAAGTCAAAAACATTGAATTTTTTTTTTTTTATCTTTAACTCCATTAATATAGATTGAGAAAAAAAAAAATTTTAAAAGTTTGAAATTATAATAAGTGTAATATAAAATAGTAAAATAAAAAATACTATGGATTTTAAAACTTTTTCTTAAAATTAATATTTAGTAAATTATTTTATTAAATTAATAGTAAACTCATTTTTTTATAAAAAAAAAATGAAACTTTTTTTTTTTTTGTTTTTTTTTATTTTTTTTATTTTTTTATTATTAATTGAGTTAAAGATTAAAAAAAAAATTAAAATGTCTCATTCGTAATATAAAATAATACTAGTTTATTATGGTTTTTCTAGCAGTTTAAAATTTTAAAGTTCTTCATAATTTAAAGAAACCCTTCATGACTATTCTTTAAATTGTTTGAATTATTTATTATTACAAGCAACTACCACATTTATTATTATATATTTCCAAATTTAATAGTTTATATTTCTTGTTGTACCCTTTGTGACTAACAATAAGGAATATAACCTAAAGTTGTATAAAACCAGTATAAAATAATAATAATGAATGATACAGATACAGCTTTTTCTAAGTTTGGAGAAACTTTGTTATCAAAAACCAAATATTACAACTTCTAGAAAAAGAAAGAGATTTAGATAGAAAAGAGAAAAGAACAACTACTACCAAAGATTAGAGAATTTTTATTTAAATACATTTGAAAAAAATGAAGATCAAGGTTATATTCACCAAATTAGTAAAGAAAATACTTATTTTTGTATATCAAGTTTCCTTGGGTAAATTTAGTCCTATAATTGATAATATTCTAAGGGGCAAGATAATACAAGTATTCAAAAAAAAATTCAGATGGATTTCATCAAAAGGTAATATATATTTTGAAAGTGGATTTTTTGCAATTATATTATTGTATAATACATTAATTTTAGATTATTATAGATTTGATGTTGATAAAACAGAAGATGCAACAAATAAAGCTATAGTAGTTATAACTGCAAGAAAATTGAAAACTTTCAAAAGATAAACCCACACTTTCAAAAATTACTTCAGAAAAACACACAGGAGGGTAAAAGATATGTTGTAGTGATATCACAATCAAAGATCGTTTTCCAATTCCTAACATTGATGATCTTTGGTCAAATTTAAAAAATGCAAAAGTTTTCTCAAAATTAGATATGGTTTCAGGTTACCATCAAATTCCAATCAAGAATATGTTGTTATTCAATGCAAAAAGCATGAAAAATTTTATATTTTGTCACACAGTCCAACCTCAATAGACATCAAAATAATTAAACAATTTACAGTTATACTGGTACCAGAAAATTTGTATTTGATACAATTAACTTTTTTAAACACACGACCTATTATCAAACTTTAAAAAAAGAAAAAAATCACAACGATAATTGGTATCGTTTTAAACTCATAAATTTCCAACAAAGAAAATTTTATGAATTTCAATTGGTGGATTTGAATATTACCAAAAGATTCAATAGTTTGGCTGGTTATATATATTATAGTTTTAAATTAAATAATAAAAATTAATATTTATTTGATTGTGAATTGTAATATTTATTTTGTTATCATATTAATTTTGTCATCATAATAATTTCACATAAAATATTTATTTTGTTATCATATAAATTTTTTTATCATATAAATTTTGTCATCATACAAATTTTTTTTTCAAATATGGCGACCATAACAACCATCTTTGTTTAGATTATTTTTGTTTTCTTACCTTACTTTGGCAGTGTTGTTATAAATACCCATATAAGCAAGAAGATGTGATAGTCGATGCCAACAATCTAGAATTTGTAAAAAATCATTTAATTTTTCAATAAAAATATCACAATTTTCTTTGTAATTTTTATTGAAGGCGGACCCTGTGGTTTTTTTTAAATGTACACAAAAAACAATTACGACTTTAACTAATTTAATCTAATAAAAAAATTAATTGGATACTAAAACATTACAATTAATTCATTACAATTAAATTATTCATGTGTATAATGCAATAAAATAAATGTAAAAAATATAATTTATAATTTAAAGTACCCATAAAATAGTCTTTTAATATCAAGAAAAAAAAAAAAAAAACTGTAAACAAAAAAAAAAAAGTTTATATTAGAATTTAATTTTATAAAATATTTTTTTTTAAAAAAAAATTTAAATATATAATGGTGTGTCAGAATGTGAATTATGCTCAAAAGTAAGGGTACTAAACCTCACCTCACTCTAGAAGTGTCAGAATAATTTATTTTTTCTCATCATTAAGACCAAAAATGAATTTTAAAAACAAATAAATAAAAAGAGACTTACTATATTAAAAATAGCAGGAGCTTCTTGGATTAAAAAAAAAAAACTAAATATTTTAAAAAAAAAAAAACTCTGAAAAAAAAAAAAATGTTAGAATTTTTTTTTTTTTTTTTTCATTAATTTAATAATAATTATATTATTTGGATTGATTAATTGTTTCAGTATTAAAAAGCTCGTTGTTTTTGTTCGACACGATTTGTTAAGAGATTGTTCACAATACAATCATCATTAAAAATTAATCAATCCAACTAATATTTTTTTTTTTTTTTGAATATTCTTATACATACCAATTACTCATTAAAGATTTTCGTATTTTCACAATTAAATTCCATAATAAAAAAAAAAAAAAATGCCTTTTTATTTCGAAAAAAAAAAAAAAAAAAAAAAAAAAAAAAAAAAAAATTTCAGTAAAAAATTTCAAATCATTGTTAAACGAAATTCGTATTTTAAACGTTATGCAGAAACGTAAAAAAAAAAAAATTAAAAAAAAAAAAAAAAAAAAAAAAATAAAAATCAAAAAAAAAAAAAAAAAAAGATTTCTTTTTATTTTTTATTTTTTTTATTTATTTTTATTTATTTTTTTTTTAATCATCAAATAAACTACTCTTTGCACGAGATTTTTGAGAATTAATATAACTTGAAATATCAAAATCTGAACTTAATTTTGAATCATTTCCATTGTCATCACCAAATAAATCATCATCAAGTTGGAGGTTTAAAGGTTTTTTAGATTTTGTTTTATCAGCTTTAAAATCAAATAAATTATCTTCTCCATCATCTTCAGTGAATAAAATTGATTTTTTAGTTGGTTTTTCAATTGGTTTCTTTTCTAATTTTGATAAATCAACAGAGTCTAATGAGATTTCTTCATCATCTTCAAATATTAATTTCTTTTTTTGATTAGATTTAGTACCAAATAATAAATCTTCATCTAATTTCTTTGAAACCTCTTCAACACTTTCGTCATGTTTAATTTTATTTACAGTTTGTTTATTATCTTCTTGTTTTTTTTCTACAACTTTTTCTTCATCATCTTTTTCTTCATCATCTTTTTCTTCATCAATATCAATATTCTTTTTTAATGGATCCTTTACTACTTGATTTACATCAAATTCTCTAGCTTGATTTCTTTCAGTTACTGTAATTTTCCTTTTTTTTTTTTTTTTTTCATAAAAAAATTAATAAAAATATAATAAAAATTAATTAATAATATTTACTTTATAAATATGAAATATAGAATAATATCTATATATTATAAAATAAAATTAAAATATTACTTTTCATCTAAAATTAATAAAGTTGGTAAATTTTGAATTACAATAAGTCTGTAATTAGTTTGTTTTGATACTGGGTTACCAGTTAAATTTAAATCTTCAATTACTGGCAAATCAAATAAACCTTTGATATTACGAATAAGTTGAAATCTATTTGATGATAAATCTAATTTCTTTAAACATTTTAATCTTGAAAATGATGAAGTTGCATCAATAAATCCTAATGATGATAATTCAAGCTCCTCAATTGAGTTGATATCAATTTTTTTACCAATTTTAAAACTGATATTGTCTGGTGTTAATTTAGTAGCACTACTCATTCTTTTTTATATATAGATGTTAAAAAAAAAAAAAAAAAAAAAAAAAAAAAAATTTTAGATATGCAACAACAATAAAAAAATAAAAAAAAACAAAAAAAATAAAAAAAAAAAAAAAAATTTTGTGGAATGAAAATTATAAAAAATAAACAAAAAAAATTTGAATATTTGGGATAAAAAAAACAATATAAAAAAGAAATCAATGTTGTCAAAACTTTATTTAATGAGTTACTTATTAATTTTTTTTTTTTTAAAATTAGTTTATAAAAAAAAAAGAAAAAAAAAAATTTCAAAGGAAATGGAGAATTATTTCTTTTTTATAAATTAAAAAAAAAAAAAAAAAATTTATTGTTTTTATTTATTTTAATTTACTTTATATTTTAATTTAATTTAATTTAATTTAATTTTTTTTTTTTTTTTTTTTTTTTTTTTTTTTTAATTTAATTAAATTTAATTTACATACCTGGTTATGATTATATTACATGTAAAAACATATGAAATGTCAAACTGAACTTTGTGTGATAATGCCGATATTTACCGGTTTTTTTTTTTTTTGTAATAAAATATTTTTTTTTTTTTTTTTTTTTTTTTTTTAATTTTTTTTAATTTTTTGTATACAAATTTTTTTTTCAAAATTTTTTTTTTTTTCGTTTTTTAATTTTAGAAATAAACTTTCAAATATATATATACATAAAATGTCAGAAATTATTGCCAAAGGTAACGTCGAAAACGGTGAGAAACTTTTCAAAGCAAGATGCGTCCAATGTCACACCACTGCCAATGTAAGTCTAAAAAAAATAAAATAAAAAAAAAATAAAACAAAACAACCAAACTGTTTTATTAAAAAAAAAAAAAAAAAAAAAAAAAAAAATGAAAATAATCAAACACAAACCACACATATTAAAATATTATGTGATTATGATTATGATTATGATTATGATTATGATTATGATTATGATTATGATTATGATTATGATTATGATTATGATTATGTGAAGACTTTTTTTTTTTGTTTATTTTTTGAAATAAATTATATTTTCAAATTAAAGAAATGAATATTAATAATATCAAAATTATTTTTAAAAAAAGGGTGCACCAAACAAACAAGGTCCAAATCTCTACGGTTTATTTGGTCGTAAATCAGGTACTGTTGCTGGTTATGCCTACTCTGAAGCCAACAAAAACGCTGGTATGTTTTTTTTATTTTTTTATTTTTATTTTTATTTTTTATTTATTTCATTCATTGCATAAACAATGATATACTAATGGATTGATACTTTTAACAAAATAGGTATTATGTGGAGTGACCAAACTCTCTTTGATTACTTAGAAAATCCAAAGAAATACATTCCAAAGACTAAAATGGCCTTCCCAGGTTTCAAATCAGAACAAGATCGTTATGATGTTATTGCTTTCCTCGAAAAAGACACCAAATAAATTAATCACAAAACAAATAAATAATAAGAAAAGAAAATTAAATTTTTTAAAAAAAAAAAAAAAATATAATCAATTTATAGATTGATAAAATTCATTGTTTTATTTTTTTTATGAACACAAGAAAAAAAAAAAAATACTATCAACAGTTGCTTTTTTTTTATATTTTTATAATGGAAATTTGGGAATATTTTTATTTTTTTTTATTATTGATCAAAATTGTAATCAGTTTCTTGGTCATCTTGTTCTCTCATCATTGCAATTGTTTTACTCATGGCCTCTAAATTGAATTTTGCAATTTTCATTACCTTTGTATTATTATTATTATTATTATTATTATTATTATTATTACTATTATTATTATTATTATTATTATTACTTTGATCATTTAGTTCTTGGTGGTGTTGGTCACTTTCATTATTTACCTTTCGAAAAGCTTCAGTACTATCTATATTATCTTTTTTTGTTTCGACAGTCTCAGTTTTATTATCGGATAAAATTGATTCTTCTTTTTTATCATCATTAATAATATTAATGCTATCACTGTTAATATTTAAAGTATTACTATATATTTTTTGATCTTGTTGTGGTTGTAAAGGTGATAAAGTGGGTGTTGTTTTTGCTTGGGATTTAATATTTGTCGTTATATCTGTATTTAAATCGGTTGTGGTTGCAGTTGTTAATGAGGTTGGTAATAAATTTGGTGATGAGGTTGGGGATATTAAAATTGCAGATGGTTGTTGTTGTTGTTGTAGTAATTGTTGTTGTTGTTGTTGTTGTTGTTGTTGTTGTTGTCGTTGTTGTTTTTGTTGAGTTATATTTAAAATTATTTTATTTACAATGAAATTGAAAAAGAAAATTATATAAGATATCATAAAGAATTTATAAAGTATATTGATATATGGTGAGGTTTTCTTTGTTCTCTTCAAGATTTGTACAGTGTTTTCCAAAGATTTCGATTTATTGAATAGTTTTGTAATCGAAGTGAGGGTGGAGTCAATATAAGGTTTGGTTTTATCCAATTTCGATTGAATTTCAAATTGTCTCTCTTGATTGTCCAAGACGAATTGCTTTGATTTCTCACTTGATTTACTTAAAGTTTCAAAATTTGTATAGAGATCGAATTTGAATTGTTTGGTTTTATCCTCCAACTGATCCAATTCTTTACCTTGTCGTAAGATTTTCTCCTCTAAAAGATCATATCTTTTTTTAAGATCAGATATTTCTATCATTTTTGGACGTAATTGTAACATTTCTCTATAGGCTTTAGTTAGTTGACGATTTCTACCTGGTTTTTGAAATTCAATTATAACACTATCATCGCCACTACTACTTCTAATATCATCGTAGTCGTCATCATTACTTAATGAATTTAATACAGAGTTTACATTCTTACTTATTGATGAAGAGTTTGTTAAATTACCATTTCCATTGCCTCTATTTTGATTATTATGGGATTTCTTATTTTTACCAAATCCAAATAAATGATTCTTTTTCAATGGGAATGATGGCATTTGAATATTTGGTTTACTAATACCATCATTGAATAAACCTTTGATATTGGTTTGAATCTTTTTCAATCTACTACTACCATCAAATGATGGTAAGATATTGAATGGTTGTTTTTGTGATGATGCTGAAGAGGATGTCGGTGTTGTTGGATTACTATTGGTAGTATCATTACTATAGGTGGTTGGGGTGGATTCTAAATTATTTTGTAAATTTCTATTTTGACTATGTGATAAGGTTAATGATAATCTATTTGAATTAAATTTTCTACGTAATAAACTTTGTCTTTTACTCTTTGCACTCTCTGAATCTTTTAATACTGATTCTAAATTTGATGATGATACATGCTGATATCTCTGTCCATTATTATTGTTATTGTTGTTACTATTTTCAGATTCAGGTGGTGTATTTGTTGAATAACTTCTTTTATGATCACGATGAAATCTATTAAGTATATGATGTTGTATTGGTGCTTCATAGTCTGCTGAGCTTGATGATGATAGTATTGATTTATTTGGGTAAGATGACATTGGTGGAGGTGGAGGTGGGGGTGGAGGTGGTGGAGGTGGAGGGGTTGGAGGGGCACTGCTACTACCAAATAATAAACTATGAAATGGTTTATTCTTTAATGTTTGCTTTAAATTAATTTCCAATAATGATTTTTTTTGACTAATCTTTCTTTTATGCATTAATGGATTAT